TGGTCTAAAACTCCTAGCCTCAAGTAATTCTCCCACCTCGGCCTCCCAAAGTGCTGGGATTACAGGCATGAGCCATTGCACTCAGCCTTTGATTCAAATCTTAAAAAGATCGTAAGTTAAAAACTCTGCTCCACAGTAAGTAAAAAATTTTACATCATGACTCTGTATACATACACCTAGACACTAATATACAAATAACAAATGTTTCATATTAGAATACTTGTCCTTACTATATATAATATATTCTGATATTTTCTTTCTTTGCTACTTAATTTTTAAAAGATGCTGGTCACAACCAACTAAATAGATTTCATAACCTGCAGTGTAAAAAGTGCTTATTTAGATAACCAATCATGCTTAAGCTTTCTTTAGGGACAGCATACTTCCAATTACTAAAATTTGGGGCAAAGTATTAGAAAGGATTAAAAGACTCAAAAATATACATTTATCAATGATCATTATAACACAGTCATCATTGTAAGTTTGTGTCCTGTAGCATCTATAAAAGCTTCCCTTATTCACCACACTATTTCCTGGCTAGCTGTTCAGCACAAAGTGGCTTTTTAAGGGAATTATCATTGCCCTGACCATTCTCTTATCAGGCAAAGTTGTCGAAATGTTCTAGAAGCATCTGATAGCTCTTCAGAATAGGTTGGATGATGTGATCCTCCAACTTGAACATGGGGCTCCACTCTACCCTTGTCACAAAACCTAAGTGCCCACTGCCCCATAACTTATGATGAACATGCAACAGCCTAGTGGGCTTCCCATTTGCAACAATAAACTGCACACGTGGCCATGAGGTGCCAGCTCCCCACAGAGGGACTCCCCGTAGACTGGAGTGCTGAGCACGCCACTAAGAACTTCGGCATCAACATGCTGCTTATGAGTTCATAAGACAGGACTGCAGTATAATGGGAAGTTTCGGACCATATTCTTTTTTCTTTTTTTTTAAGTAAATTAAACAACATTTTTATCCTGAAAGATCTCAAGCACTTCTGAAAGGGACATATAAACAGGGACTAGTAGAGAATCATAATTCATTAAACAAGAACCCATACATGATACTGTGAGAATGCCAAAGGGGGACAACAAAGTCACGTTGAGCATTTCGGATGGATTTTCTGAGGCGTCCTGCATTTTTTTTTTTACTAATTGTATTTTAGATTCTGGGTACATGTGCAGATCGTGCAAGACTGTTGCACAGGTACATTCACGGCAAGACCAGACCACATTCTTTTAAAGCCACTTTCCAGACTGGCTGTCAACATTCCAACAGTGTTGAGGATGTATTACTTCTCCTTTTCTTTTTCTAGTCACTCAGCAAGAAAAAGTTAGGTAGCTTGCATTACTACGGAAATTGCCATGCCCGTATTTCCAAAAACAGTGCTCATACTTCAACATGGGCCTTGGTGATTTAACGGCTCATCCTGTTTCCAAAATCAGCTGTTTTTTTAAGCGTTTCAATTACCTGAATTGAAATGCAAGTACACTCTCACCCACGTGCCCACTTCACTTGTAGCAGTCCCACCGCCCAGACACAGCCACAACCCTGTCAGAATTCAGGGTCTGGGTGCCCACTGCCAAGAGAAAAGCCAGGAGGCAGCACAGCCCACCACCCGGCCCGGGCAGCCCAGTCCCCATGGTCCCTGAAGAGGAGCTCTCGACCGCGTGAGAACCTGGGGTGCTCTGCACAGTGGCTTGGCTCCCTGTGTTTATTTGTTGTTATCCATTCCACAGTCCCCTTCCATGGGTGGGGTGGGGTAAGGGTGTTCTAGGTAACGGAGCAGCTGAAAAACACAGGGCTACATGTTTGTTTTCAGATGAGAAGTCCTGCCTTTGCTACAATAGGACTTGAGGCAAGCCACTTAACTGTCCTAGACCTACTTTCCTTACCTGTCACCTAGATGATGACAGGTAGATGATGGCTTCAGAGACATCTTTCAAAAACAGAATAAACATACTTGTATAAGGATATAGCACTATTGAAACAAAGGTACCACCACTGTTAGCCAATCCACATGCAGCTATCAAGTACCTTCTTTGTATAAGGCAATATCCTTTTCCTAAGTGGTTCAGTTGGAATGGGGAAATAAGATAAAACTCACAAAATAATAATACAGGATAATTACAGGACAAGTTACACAATGCATGATTGGTTACTACATAAGTAGTATATATTTCCTATGACTACCCTATGACTGTGGGCTTCAGAAGCTACATGGGAAGGGCCTGCACTTGGGATAGGCAGATTGCGATGGGCAGGAAGGAAATGAAACAGAACATGTGCAAAGGCACAGAGGCGGGAGAAGCACGACCAGAAGCCCCACTTGGCTATGGAAAAGCTGGGAATGGTGCGCAGTCAGCCCTTTGCATCCGTGGCTCCTGCATCCACAGCTTCAACTGATCACAGAGAATATTTAAAACAACAACAAAAAGAATGCAAATAAAAAACAAAGTTTGACAACCATTTACATAGCGTTCACATTGCAGGTATTGTAAGTAGTCTACAGATGGTTTCACGTGTGCGGGAAGATGTGTGTAGGTGAAATGCCGATTCTATGCCATTTTATGTCAGGCACTTAGGCATTCGTGTGGTATCCAAGGGAGGCCCTGAAACCAACCTGCCCTAGATACCAAGGGGTGACTGTAACAGGCAGCAGGGCCCACTAAAGCCAAGTGCCTTCCAGGTACACTGCCCCTGCTGAGAAGCCAGCTGTGCCCACACCTCCTTCTCATCCATCTCTGGCCCCATCAGTCTCACCATCCTTGTTATTTATGGCTGATTGCCCCAGACTTGGGTAACAAAGGAAACCACAGATAGCCTGTCACCAGGTAGCTGCTGCCTACACAGGAAAGCCCTGTGCCACAGGACAGTGACTTACCGAGCCAATCGTATCTTCCCCGAGTAGGTGGCATAGGAAGGTGCACCAGCAACACAGACACAGACACACGGGGGGCAGCAAGTAGAAGCCTGGAGGTAGCTGCAGCCATGATCTAGAAGGAGCCTCCAGGGAGTAAGTGGGGCGAGAATTCTTTCCCTCACAGCAGACACAGCACAGCTGGGTCTCCAGAATGGTGGTGCCCGGGGAGAGCTCAGGACGCCGCCTGCTGAGGGGTCACTTGGGACTCTGGCTCCTGCCTGGCTCTCTGGGAGGCTTTGAGTGGTATCTTGTTTCCTGGTTTCTTTCTTCTGTGTACACTCTTCCTTTAAACTCCTTTGCTAACAAGAGCAGAGGCTCTGGAGCCTAGCTAATATCAGATCACCTGTGGAACTTTTAACACAGGTTCTCAGCCTCATCCCAGAGCTTCTGAATCAGAATTGCTAGGGGTGGGGCCAGGAAGGTGTTTTGGGTTTTTTGGATTTTAGCTCCACAGCTGATTTGAATGCTCTACCACCACTGAGAATGGATTGAAGGCAGCCTGAACGTGCACTTCTGCTCCCTGCAACCTGAGACAGCTGAAGGCTCACGGAGCAGACTCGGAACCTCGATGATTTAAAACACATGCTCACTTTTTTTCCTTATTGTGTTTTAAGACAAATATACAAAATTATATTTACCTGGAAAAAAACAAATTTCACATCAACCTAGCAAACCCAATTCTTTCAAATAATTCCTGAGTTCCAGTTCCTGTTTAATGGCATAGCGCTACAACGCTTAAGAGTTTCCAAAGCACGTCAGCCACCTTCTGAGGACTTGCTATGTGGCAGGCACTGTGTTAGGTACATATCTGCTCATTCATCACCCAACAACCCTGCAGGGTGGACATCAATTTATCCTCATCTTGGAGATGATAAAATTTAATTTTGGAGCAGCTGAGAATCTGTGTTTTTAAAAGTTCCACAAGTAAATCTAATATGCAGCCAGGACTGGGAGCCTCTGCTCTGGTTAGTGAAGGAGTGCAAAGGAAAGGTGTCTATTAAGCTTTCTGAGGTTGCAGAGAAGTTGAGCTCAAGATTTAAAAACTCAGCACCTATGGCTTCCGAGTGAGCTTGAGCCTTTGCACATGGCTTCCCGGATCCAGGACAGTGGCCAAGCAGTAATGGGTACATCTCCTCTCTTTGGGGAAAAAGGATTATTAAAAACACTCATTTGCTGACCCAAATCATTGTTTTTAGAATTAACCCAGGATGAAAAAAATTATCCTAAAATTATAAAATTTTTTAAATGTAAAAAATGATCCTGGCTAGCCAAGGTGCTTCACACCAGTAATCCCAGAACTTTGGATGGCTCAGGCGGGAGGACTGCCTGAGTCCAGTTTGACACTAGCCTGGGTAACATAGCAAGGCTTCGTCTCTACAAAAAAAAAAAATTTTTTTTTTAATTATCTGGGCATGGTGGTACGTGTCTCTAGTCCCAGCTAGAGAGGCTGAGGCAGGAGGATTGCTTGAGCCCCAGGAGTTCAGGGCTGCAGTGAGCAGTGATCGTGCCACTGCATTCCACCCTGGGTGACAGAGCAAGACCCTGTCTCAAGAAAAGAAAAACACAATCTTCTTCCCTTGGATTTGTATTGGTGATTTCCTACCTTTCAAGGATATAAACCCCATTGTAATGCCAAATAGTCTCACAGGCTCTCACCCACAGGATAATTAATGTAGCTAACTAAAATGTACAGCTTCATTTAAAAGCATGACTTAATTGAGTCGCTTTTAGCCCTATTTTCTCAATTACAACAATGTCTATAACCTTGTGAACAACAAAGGATATGTACATTTATGCTGAAGTCTTATATTTATGCACTCTAGAGAAAATGCAAAAAAAAAAAAAAAAAGCCATAGAGGAAATCATGATTGTATCTAATGAGTTGAAAGTCCTTCTGTCCCCATTGTAAATAACATTCAGCCTCTTCAGATAGTTCCAAATTATAATAATCTTTAACATACTCTATTGCCTTAGAAATAGAGTCACCCAAACGCATACTATTATTTATCCAAACAGGCCACAGAAAAAAATTATCTCACACTGATAAAACTCAGATTCATCATAGTCAAGTCTTACCTAAAAATGATGACAGCAGGAGTAAGAGTGTGTTGGTGTCTTCATTTCCAAAACATGACGAAGCATTAGTGATGTTTTCACTGAAGTTCCACAAAGTTTTACAAACCAAGCAGGCCAGCTGCCAATCCGTAGGACCAAAATCTCTTAAACAATCCACCAACCTGAGTTAATAAAATTCAAACTGATAAGTTATTAGGTCAGAATCTGTCTTTAATTTTAATATTGTTAGCATAATGATTATCCTTCTGTGATATGTAAAATGCATTATGTATAATCCAGAGATCACTTAAGATAATTTCTTATCTATAAATTTAAGTGGTTACAAAGTAGCAATAATTTACTTCTGCACTTTTTCTTTTTTTGAGACAGTTTCACTCTGTTGCCCAGGCTGGAGTGCAGTGGCACAATCTTGGCTCACTATATCTCTGCCTCCCAGATTCAGGCGATTCTCCTCCTCAGCCTCCTGAGTAGCTGGGATTACAAGCATGCACCACCACACCCATCTAATTTTTGTCTTTTTAGTACAGACAGGGTTTCACCATGTTGGCCAGGCTGCTCTTGAACTCCTGGCCTCAAGTGATCCACCCACCTCGGCCTCCCAAAGGGTTGGAATTACAGGCGTGAGCCACCGCTCCCGGCCTACTTCTGCACTATTTTAAGTGTCCAGTGGAATCTAACCCCCTCTTTAGCCTCAGCTTAGGGACTTCCCAATGTTGAAACACCTTTGCCCCACAGGAATGATGAGGGGGGCCCAAGCTCCCGAGAAAACGATGTCCTTCAAATCATGAGACAGTAGTACTCTACACCTTGAAACTTACTTTTTAATGCCACCTCCTTCTTTGAGGATGACACGCTTGTCTTTATCCACAGTGAGATTGAGGAGAACACCACAGGCAGAAAAGCAGATATCCTGATGCCGAGCATCCAGCAGTGCCATCATGAACTTGTGTACTACGAGGGAAGGGAGCAAATGCAGACCGGTAAAAGCCCAGGGTTCCCAGCGGTCTCTTGTTTTACAAATGGTACAGGGGAAAGGGTGAGTGATTTGCAAACCCAGAACCCCTGTTAAGGGACTTCACTCATTCTTCCTACGGCTTTATCCATCACCCAGCAGTGGGTTCCCCAATACCCACCACTCCCAGAGCCGGCTCCCCCAACCCCCAGATACTGCGAAACCTGCCCCAGGCAGCAGCTACGTCTCCACAGCAGTGAAAGAGTCCCTGCTGGTGGAAAGGAGGGAACACAGGTGACAGTCATCTAACTTCCAGTTGTTCTCAAGGCTTTTCCTGAACCTCCAGCAGCAGCTCTCTTTAAATACACAGCTCTGGAGAGCGGCGCTGGCTCCTGGTGGGATCATTCCTGAAGTCTCCCAGAGCTACTCAGACTGCTGAAAACCAACCTGTGGCAAGGCAGGCCTTCCAGTGTAGGGACATCTCAGGGCAAGACAGGTTCCCGCTTCAGGGGAATCGGTTTCCCTTACTCCTAGGAAATGGAACTTGGAAATGTTTGTCCTGTTTTCTTATCCCTCAGCAGAGGCTGAGCAAAGGGCTGGGGAAGAGTGAGTAAAGTGTGTGCTCTGCCTCCTCCCAGCTCTGTGCACCTGAGAGGGGCTGCCCTGTTCTAGCCAGGCCCTATTGACTGGGTTGGGCAGTGAGTTTGGCAGAGGCAACATCACACACACATGTGCTCTTAAGAGGCTAAAGAGTGCATAGCCAAACGTGCAGTTATCTGCAGGTAGTGAGAGGATGGGGGATGTTTGCTGCTGCTGGTTTCTACATCTGTATTATTGAAATTTTCCATATGAACATGGTGAGCTACGTTTTAAAATTATTCTTACATGAAATATTTGAGATATATCAAGAGTAAAGGTATACTAATATTTGAGACATATAAAAATATCTGAGACATACAAAGGGTATGAACATTTGGGTACCTGCCACAGTGTAAGAAATAAAACATTACATTCCAAACAGCATGTATAGTAAATATATACAATTCTGGCTGGGTGCCGTGGCTCACACCTATAATCCCAGCACTTTGGGAGGCTGACGCGAGTTGATCACCTGAGGTTGGGAATTTGAGACCAACCTGACCAACATGGAGAAACCCCATCTCTATTAAAAATACAAAATTAGCCGGGTGTGGTGGCACATGCCTGTAATCCCTGCTGAGGCAGGAGAATCGCTTGAACCGGGGAGGTGGAGGTTGTGGTGAGCCGAGATCGTGCCACTGTACTCCAGCCTGGGCAACAAGAGTGAAATTCCATCTCGAAAAATTCTTATTTGTTGATAATAAGTAACATTATAGATCCAATTATAGTCTTTGGACATCCCTTTTCCTCCAAAGGTGAACTCTGTCCCTTTTAAAATTAAAAAAAAAATTTTTTTAGAGATAGGGTCTCGCTCTGTCTTCCAGGCTGGAGTGCAGTGGCATGATCATGGCTCACTGCAGCCTCAAACTTCTGGGCTCAAGTGATCCTCCTGCCTCAGCCGCCCAAGTAGCTGGGACTACAAGCATATGCCACCACATCTGGCTAATTTTAATTTTTGTAGAGACAGGGTCTATAGCCAGATTATCCAAGTTGATCTCAAACTCGTGCCCTCAAGCAATCCTTCCACCTTAGCCTCCCAAAGTACTGATATTATAGGCTGAGCCACTGCTCCCAGCCTGAACTCTGTCTTAATTGGAGTTTACTATTTCCAATTACTCTTCATACTGTATACCATCACTACATGAATACCAATGCAGAAGCAATACCCAAGATAGTTTTGTATGTTTTAAAACTTATGTCCATGGGATTCCTCTGTGTACATCCTCCTATTGCTTTTACATGCTAGAGAACATTTTATTGCATGAATATACCATAATGAATTTAATGAATTTGTCCTCTTGTCTGTTGAGGGACAATCAGGTTGTTTCTACCTTTTGCTATTATAAGCAAAATATAATAGACATTCTAGTACATAAAAGAGAATGTCTTCTTGAGTCTATGCCCCCAGACAGAAGTGATGGCTCAAGCTTCACTGTTTCTGTGAAACATACACACACCCCATCTTGAAACACAGAAGGCCAATCACAAGGGAGAGGGGACACTGCCTAGGTCCATCTTGGCAACCTGAGACAGGAGCCTTAAGCACGTAGCTCTACAAATCTCAAAGCAGAAACAAGGATAACACTCTAATGACTCAAGTTCCAAAACCACTCGGTTGATTATGAATTCTAGTGTCATTAACTCACCATTGTTCTGCACAATGAAATCACAGACATCGCGGTCCTGGGAGAGATTTCCAAAAACGCGCACAGCCTCCAGGATTCCATCCATGTTGTTACTGACAAGAAGCTTTAAGAGCACTGGATTTGGTGACCAGATTAGGTAAATCGGTGAATTTAAGTTTTAACTTAAAGATTAATGGGAATCAACATCATACTAAATACTGATTATTTTTAAATGATAATAAAATGCAAATTGTAAGGGACTTTAGCAAGAACTAAGAAACTAATTGTTCCCATTTCTAGTTTCCCCACATTCTAATTTCTTAGAATTATCAGGCTCTAAGACATTTTTGTACCAGAAGGCAGAAGATAGTAATGTCTGCAGCTCTGTGTTTAGTTAATAAAATCGAAACCTCAAATGAGCACTCATTTATCCAAATCCAACTTTGAACCTTACGTTCTGCAATATAAAGCTTTTTGTCTTGAATTATGGAATTCTTCACTTGGTAGTAAGATAAATTGTTGATTGTCGCTGTAGCATTGATCACCAGCTCCTCACAATCATCAAGTGACTTGTATTCTGAAAGGAAAGGAGGATAAGGGAGTCAAAGACCCACTGCAGGAGTAGAACCAAGGATGCTGTAACTACAGCAACAGCAATGCCAGGAGCATGCCGCTGTCACAGCAAGGTGCCTGCAAAGGCCCTGGAGAGGCATCTTTACCACTTTGTTTTCCCCGACTCCTCCTGCATGGAAATGCCCCAAATGCAAGGCCCGCTCCTGGCCAGAGAGGAGAGGATACTGTCAGCTCAATCCTTGCAGCCAGGGGGTCTGGAAATGCCCGCTGATCTGGGCCCTGTGTCTGAAGTAAAGCAAAGGGGCTGACACAGCAGTGAGCAGAGCCGCCTCTAATCCCGCCAGTTTTCTGGGTCCTTGGGCTCTCCCAGGGGCTCTTCGGTGGAGTCTGTGCCCTACTTCCCACACTGCCTCCCAAGAGAACAGCTCCGAGGTCATGATACATCTGCGACTGTCAACTCTGTCTTTCCAACACAGAAGACACCTCTGGCCTACTCTACCACCTGCCTAGTTCATCTCTTGGCGCCTCCTGGCTTCTCTTCTTCCACTTTTGCCTCCCTAAATCTATTCTCAACACAGTGATCCTTTAAAAGCAAGTCAGATAAGGCCACCCACCTCACAACCCATGAATAGCCCGCCTCGTCTGGCCCACAGGACCTACCTGGCAGCTCCAGGGCTCACCTCTCTGGCCTCATTTGCTCCTCCTACTCCCAGACCCCTGGGGCCAACCACACTGGCCTCTTGGCCTCTTGGAATATGCGAACATGTCCCTGCCCGAGAACACATGCACTGCTGACCTTCCTTCCGGAACATACTCTCCTCCCAGTTAGGCACTTGGCTCACTCCTTCCATCCTCCCAGCACTTGCTTAGATGACGCCCTGTTGTACATACTTTCCTTAACCTCCCTATTTACAATGGGATCTGTTCTCTTTTCTCTTGCCCTGCTTTAATTTTCTCCATAGCACATATGACCACCTGATGTTACATAGGTGTTTAATGTTTGTCTTTCAGCCCTAAAATGTCAGCTCCCTGAAGCATAGGGATATGTTTATTTTATTCCTGGCTGGATTTCCAGCTTCTAGAACAGTGCCCGGCACACAGTGAGTGCTGGATGCAAGAATGATCTCTAGCTTAGCACAAAAGGCCCTTCGTGGTTTTGTCCCTGCCTCCCACCCAGTCTCCGACTCATCTCTTGATGGTTCTGGCCACAGTGCAGAGGAGAGCTCCAAGTGACCTCAACATAGCATGGACGTGGCAACGGCAGAGACGCAGCAGAGTGGAGACTGTGCTTGGCAGAGGCTGGATGGGGGTATGAGGGAGAGGAATCACCCAGGGTACACCCTGGGTTTCTGGCTTACGTAATTGGGTAGATGTTGACCACATTGCCTGAATTAAGGGTACAGGAAGAGGGTCAAGTTCAGGGACAGGTCATGAGTTCAGCTTTAGATATGCTGAGATGCTTCTGAAGCAGCCCCAGGAGAGGAGGGGCAGGCAGTTGGATGCAAGAGTCAGGCAATTAGACCGGCCTGAGCAACACAGCGAAACCGCATCTTTACAAAAAATTTAAAAAATTAGCGGGGCACGGTGGCACCCGCTTGTAATCCCAGCACTTTAGGAGGCCGAGGTGGCCAGATCACTTGAGATCAGGAGTGAAAACCAGCCTGACTAACATGATGAAACCTCATCTCTACTAAAAATACAACAATTAACCAAGTGTGGTGGCACACACCTGTAATTCCAGCTACTTGGGAGGCTGAGGCAGGAGAATCACTTGAACCAGGGAGGCAGACGTTACAGTGAGCCAAGACCACACCACTGCACTCCAGCCTGGGTGGCAGAGGGAGACCCCATCTCAAAAATAAAAATGAAAATAATTTTTTAAAAAGTGCTGGGCAATCAGACAAAGAATCATGAGCCCAGCAACAATGAGCCAGTGACCACAGCTTGAACGGGCCACTGCCTCCCCTCCCTCCTGTGCAGGTCCATCCAGCACCGGGAGAGCCCCCAGTCCTTCTCCACCTGATCTCCCCTGCTCCGGAGACCCCATCTCAGCCTGCAAGGGAGGCCACTCGTCACCTGCACACACCTTTGCTCATGACTTACCCACTTCCCACTGTTGAATAGGAAGTACCTTTTATTTCTTGTATGAAACCAAAGTTTTTTCTCAGGGGGGCTATGAGCTGAGGAAGAGGACTGTGCTAGCTCTTACATTCTCCAACTTAACTATCGCCCCTTTGGCTTTCTTTTCCTGTTCATTAAAGAGAACCGCCTTTTTTTTTTTTTTTTTTTTTTTTTTTTT